GTAAATTTGTTCACTAGTGTAGAATCTTTTCAATTTGAAGACCACTTACTCATGTGTACAGCAACTTATGTATTGTTTTACACGCTGAGAATCTCCACTGGGGAGACAAAAAATCATTTTTGTATCCAACTTATTGCGAGTAGATAGCACAATTAATGACTTATCAGAAATCATTGCCTACTTTGTGACGTTGAAGTGAAACTAGCACCAAACATTAGAAGACTATCCAAGTATTTTGCTGTGGAGAATGATAAAACTGGCCTCCTGATACTATCGAAAACTGTTAGTATCCATCCAGGAGGAATAATGCCGAAGTTGCGTGAAACTTCGAGCTAGGTAGTCGTCACTCAAACATGTAGTCAGCGTGTTATTACGCTCATTGAATTCCGTAATTGAATTGTGTTGAATGCTGTTTGGGTGATCACACAGTCAAACATAGTTAGTAGCTTGCAGCCTTAAACCACTTTATAGATACAAAATATTTATATCAGTGATGGTTTTCATGAAAAAGCAAATACCAGTGCAAATGTTTCCGGCGCATACTGGCCTCCCCCGCCGGGCGACAAGTCATCTGATATTTACAGATATCCACGTAATAAATCCTAACAGAAGAAAACATACTAGTTAATGTCAATATCCACACAAGGAAGTTCCGAGCAACAGTTTACCGAGGAATCATTTGGGGCGACAACAGTATATATATATATAAAGTTATAGAATAGCTTGGGACTAATTATGTAATACTGGCTTTATTAAAGCAAAACTTAACTAGCGAATATACACTCATTTCATTTGCAAATGTCTTTGTTTGAGAGACTCACCTGGAACCCAGCTAAATCTACCGTTTGTGACGGATGTTCAGCAACCTTATGAGCGGTACATTACAAATATATACAAGACTAAACTAAACTAAACTGATGTGCATTCTTATATGATCTTAATAGATGAGAAATTACACTCCTAATGACGAATTGAAAATTCGTCTAAATATGTCGCTGATCCCCTCGACATGCCATTCAACCCATGAAGCATTCCCAATTGTCTTCGTTTCAAAAGATTTGGTTGCGATTTCAGATATATTAGGCTTCACTTACTGTGCAAAAAGTACTCAAGTTTGCAGACACTAGAAGAATAAGTGTAGCATATCTTTTCTGGGCTTGCTTCCTTATCTTTCGTTCCGTGTTCATATTTTAATACTGATCTTCCTGCGGTCTCAATTAAATATTTTTCTCCTTTTGACGACAGTAAGAATATCAGTTAGGGTGTTGGGGTTTACTTTTGAAAATGGACCGTCGAATAGTTGCGGATAATAGTGACTTATACGCGTGGTTTCCGGTCGGTCACTTGACAAACCTCACAGATAATTGGGCGGTGTATATGAGAGAGCACTTTTGTCAAAACTATCTACAAAATCCGACATACAGTTGCTATGGATGTGGCACTGGTTATTTGATAAACTGCATCGGTATACTGCCAGATCTATATAGTTAAATCAATGCATCGGAATTCTCAAGACACCTGAATATCTGAAATATTGATGCATTCTAACGCGCGCATGTGCAAACTTCGATCAACCAAATTGTCTGAGGCACAAACTATTTTCTGTGGCAATCCAGTCTGTTTCATTTTGAAGAATATTCTCCAATATACTGTGTACAGCGTTGAACAGAAACAGCGACATCTCTTGTGTGCCTTAGCTAAGCCACACTAAATTAACCAATACGTCCGGTCACAAATTCAATTAGCTGAATATCAGCTACGTGGTAGACAGACAAATATGATGCTTAGAATTAGATGAGATGATAATTTAAACTGCGACTGTTGAATGTATGCTAGAATTTAGCGAACTATTTCAAAGGTTTGGTGTGATGTATAAGCTTTGTATCAACCGGGGTATTCTGAAGGAAACCGCTCAACGTAAATAATCACTGTACTAATCACTTTGATTAAGCTCAGCGATACGCTAATCAAAATGTATCAACAAACCAGAGAAGTATGCAGATAGTGAACTACTAAAAATGACGCTACTAAAGCCACGTTGCCCATTGCTATAATCAACACACGCGAAATTCATATTTTATAACGCCAACTCATCAAAATTGAGTGTGCCGTGTAGGAATATTAGCAAACACCAGCGTGAACTGACGTTTATTATATGCCTCAAAAACGCGCTACATAAGTTCCGCGCTAGAAGTGAGTAAGTAGGACATTTAAGGGCCTTTGTACAAAACTGCAAACAACGTTCAAAATTTCCACCACGCTTTGCGTCCAAGCTACGAACAAATTAATGTTCATTAGAAATGTTATGGAAGCACTCTGATAATTGGAGATTACATGACAAAGGGTTTTTATGAAACCGGCTTGCTTTTCTTGAGTCATTAACGAGCCACTTGAACTCACATGGAGCAGTTCATCCCTGTACATCATTCAGATATAGGGTTATCAAAGAACGTGTGGTCCCGTAAATTTGTTCACTAGTGTAGAATCTTTTCAATTTGAAGACCACTTACTCATGTGTACAGCAACTTATGTATTGTTTTACACGCTGAGAATCTCCACTGGGGAGACAAAAAATCATTTTTGTATCCAACTTATTGCGAGTAGATAGCACAATTAATGACTTATCAGAAATCATTGCCTACTTTGTGACGTTGAAGTGAAACTAGCACCAAACATTAGAAGACTATCCAAGTATTTTGCTGTGGAGAATGATAAAACTGGCCTCCTGATACTATCGAAAAACTGTTAGTATCCATCCAGGAGGAATAATGCCGAAGTTGCGTGAAACTTCGAGCTAGGTAGTCGTCACTCAAACATGTAGTCAGCGTGTTATTACGCTCATTGAATTCCGTAATTGAATTGTGTTGAATGCTGTTTGGGTGATCACACAGTCAAACATAGTTAGTAGCTTGCAGCCTTAAACCACTTTATAGATACAAAATATTTATATCAGTGATGGTTTTCATGAAAAAGCAAATACCAGTGCAAATGTTTCCGGCGCATACTGGCCTCCCCCGCCGGGCGACAAGTCATCTGATATTTACAGATATCCACGTAATAAATCCTAACAGAAGAAAACATACTAGTTAATGTCAATATCCACACAAGGAAGTTCCGAGCAACAGTTTACCGAGGAATCATTTGGGGCGACAACAGTATATATATATATATAAAGTTATAGAATAGCTTGGGACTAATTATGTAATACTGGCTTTATTAAAGCAAAACTTAACTAGCGAATATACACTCATTTGCAAACAAATTGTCTTTGTTTGAGAGACTCACCTGGAACCCAGCTAAATCTACCGTTTGTGACGGATGTTCAGCAACCTTATGAGCGGTACATTACAAATATATACAAGACTAAACTAAACTAAACTGATGTGCATTCTTATATGATCTTAATAGATGAGAAATTACACTCCTAATGACGAATTGAAAATTCGTCTAAATATGTCGCTGATCCCCTCGACATGCCATTCAACCCATGAAGCATTCCCAATTGTCTTCGTTTCAAAAGATTTGGTTGCGATTTCAGATATATTAGGCTTCACTTACTGTGCAAAAAGTACTCAAGTTTGCAGACACTAGAAGAATAAGTGTAGCATATCTTTTCTGGGCTTGCTTCCTTATCTTTCGTTCCGTGTTCATATTTTAATACTGATCTTCCTGCGGTCTCAATTAAATATTTTTCTCCTTTTGACGACAGTAAGAATATCAGTTAGGGTGTTGGGGTTTACTTTTGAAAATGGACCGTCGAATAGTTGCGGATAATAGTGACTTATACGCGTGGTTTCCGGTCGGTCACTTGACAAACCTCACAGATAATTGGGCGGTGTATATGAGAGAGCACTTTTGTCAAAACTATCTACAAAATCCGACATACAGTTGCTATGGATGTGGCACTGGTTATTTGATAAACTGCATCGGTATACTGCCAGATCTATATAGTTAAATCAATGCATCGGAATTCTCAAGACACCTGAATATCTGAAATATTGATGCATTCTAACGCGCGCATGTGCAAACTTCGATCAACCAAATTGTCTGAGGCACAAACTATTTTCTGTGGCAATCCAATCTGTTTCATTTTGAAGAATATTCTCCAATATACTGTGTACAGCGTTGAACAGAAACAGCGACATCTCTTGTGTGCCTTAGCTAAGCCACACTAAATTAACCAATACGTCCGGTCACAAATTCAATTAGCTGAATATCAGCTACGTGGTAGACAGACAAATATGATGCTTAGAATTAGATGAGATGATAATTTAAACTGCGACTGTTGAATGTATGCTAGAATTTAGCGAACTATTTCAAAGGTTTGGTGTGATGTATAAGCTTTGTATCAACCGGGGTATTCTGAAGGAAACCGCTCAACGTAAATAATCACTGTACTAATCACTTTGATTAAGCTCAGCGATACGCTAATCAAAATGTATCAACAAACCAGAGAAGTATGCAGATAGTGAACTACTAAAAATGACGCTACTAAAGCCACGTTGCCCATTGCTATAATCAACACACGCGAAATTCATATTTTATAACGCCAACTCATCAAAATTGAGTGTGCCGTGTAGGAATATTAGCAAACACCAGCGTGAACTGACGTTTATTATATGCCTCAAAAACGCGCTACATAAGTTCCGCGCTAGAAGTGAGTAAGTAGGACATTTAAGGGCCTTTGTACAAAACTGCAAACAACGTTAAAAATTTCCACCACGCTTTGCGTCCAAGCTACGAATGCCGTGGGCGCTAGAGGTTCTCTTGAACCTCTATCCATTACATAACCTTGCAAGAAAGAAGCTATGAATGCTGCATGGACATCGATGAACTACACAAAATGTAGCACCAGTGACTTCTATTGGGATCCACATGAGTCCCAGATTGACACTAATTTAATTTTCGAGTGGGTATTTTTCGCCACCTGAGTACAGTTCAGTCTCTGTATTCTCTTTGATCGCACTGTGTTTCGTCATGTAACAGATGAAAATCATCATCCTGGTTGTAGGCTGATAGCCAGGAGGACACAAACTAGCTTGGACATCCCTGTAAGTACTCACAGGGAATAAATAAACAACTGAAGCGTTAGATAAACAAAACGTCAACCTCAAATAATCATGATGAAATAATGAAACATTCAAAATCTCACCATTTCTCCCCGTTCTGTAGCTGTCTTCTTTCCAGAATCATTCGCACTGGATGTTTGTGTTTGACCTGAAAAGTTGGACAACCTCGCTTCTTTTGGTTTGTTTTCCAGCTCGACTGGTAAACTTTGACATCTTTCGGTTCCACCACTAACGGTGGATAGGTTGTTCTTATTCGCCTGACGATACAACGGCCCTGACACAGCTGACGCACATTCATCAGAACCATCAATATCTAAAATTTGGTGTTCCTTAGCGCCACTAGCCATATTCATTCTCCCTGTGTGAACATCCAGATTGGCAGAATTGTCCTTTCGCAGTCGATCTCTACCATCATCATCTCTGCAGCGGAGTTCTTTGGATAAGGTTCTAAAATAAGAGGGTTTTTCGTGTAATTTTATGTAGCTCTCCTGTCCAGGCCAGCTTGGACTCGGAGGAATAGACCTGTTGTTTATGGTGTCCTTTTCATTGATTTCGAAGTCATGCCATAACATGGGAGAACTCAGCAACGGCTTGATTTCTATTGACTCACAGTCACTACGTCTTTTTATGTTGCTAGAGGTGTTGGGCATTTTTGTTTGAAAAGTAGATCCATCTAATTCTGGACATGGTAACGAATTACGATTCTGAATTGCGCTCGATTGTCCCTTTTTATCTTGATGGACTAAAAAATGAGCATCAGAGCGACGGCCTGCGTCGGCAGTCTGATGAGACGAATTATCCTTTACCGGTGAGGCAACAGAATGCTGATTACGCTTTCTAAGCAAACGATGAAGTGGAAGACCGTGTCTATGTGCGCGTGGCCGCTGATTTGCTGGAGAGGACGGCGGCTGTACATCCTGCTGATTCCCAGCACTACAGTGTCCACTCTCATCCGCACTGCTTCGCGGGTCAGTTGACCGGAGACGTAATAGTCGAGTGAGTTTTGTCGCTGGTTCTGTGGCTGCTCGTTTGTTCCGCAATAAATGCAATGAGTCCAAGTGTAAGAAGTGTTTATCGTGCGTCGAATGCTTGTCTGTTGTCAGCACTAGAGCGCTCGGTGTTCTTGCCTGAAAAACAAGTAGTACAAAAGCTGGGAAATATACTAATGAATTTACTGATTTGCTAGGACGGCGGCTGTACATCCTGCTGATTCCCAGCACTACAGTGTCCACTCTCATCCGCACTGCTTCGCGGGTCAGTTGACCGGAGACGTAATAGTCGAGTGAGTTTTGTCGCTGGTTCTGTGGCTGCTCGTTTGTTCCGCAATAAATGCAATGAGTCCAAGTGTAAGAAGTGTTTATCGTGCGTCGAATGCTTGTCTGTTGTCAGCACTAGAGCGCTCGGTGTTCTTGCCTGAAAAACAAGTAGTACAAAAGCTGGGAAATATACTAATGAATTTACTCTCTCCCCGGCAGAAATAGGTTTGATTAGCTATAAGAAAATCTCACCTACCTCGAAAAAGAAAGGATTGCCAGATAAAACTTAGAACGAAGTGGCAGTCCGAGGTGTTCGGCTTGGATGCATTTCAAAATCAGGAATTTTGTGGCTACAATTAGGCATTTTACATCATCAGAACTCTATATTGCCGTTGAATACATGAAAAACGGCGACAACTATAACTATAAGATCTGGCGTCACTCAGGTGACTAGCGTCCCTCTGTGTGACCATCTTCCGTCAAGATATCCACAACTGGTGATACTAGCAGTTTGCTTTTTGGAGAAACACTGCTGGAAACCACGCAATCTGCAACAAACTACAAGATTACATGGACAATTTTTATTTTTAGCAAGGAACCCTGCCTGTTCCATATATGTTCACAACTGAGGCACTGCGCAAGGTGTCTTGTCAAAATGTAGGCGTGATAGTTGCTCTCGTACAAGAACACTGCATGCAGTTAATGTACCATACTTCAGAGTTGGGAAATGTATCAAACTGTCTTGCTCATCTTCTAATATTACTATGGAATCCCGACTGATCTTGCTCAAGTTAGTTGGCTACAAAAGCACATCAGTTGTATGACAGAGGTAAGATTTGATGCTTCATTTATACATTATTATAGGTCGCGTACGGGAACATTTCCTCTGTCATTTACTCCATTCCACAAGAACTCTCCCACTGATCTTTCACAATTGCCTATTGGTCAACTACGGGATTAAGCAGTGCGGCTGATCCACACAATTCATAGCAGATTATAGTTCGACAAAACCATTTGGATTCGCCTTTTTATACTTGAGTTTGAGTGCCATTCTCTTGGTTATCAAAAGAAAACGTTCAAATGCATGTGAGTTGGTCAAACCAGCATAACGTGATACTAACACAAAGGCGTGAATTCCGGCGAATACAAACCGATAATTTGACTTATTACGTGCGTATACTGATCATCTCTCGTCTGTTTTAGCAATGAATTTTTAGCTGGAACACATTTTTCACGATACATTCACTGTCGAACGGATCTAACAGATTTATGCTCCATCGAATCTCGTCGAATCAAACGCGAATCTGGTCCTATCTGTTCATTCTATCACTAGTCTGGATTGAACTTGAGCTTTGTCTGATTTTTGTTGAGCAAAAGTACCGGCACAGCTGTGTGCGTCAGATGGCCTAACACACAAGTAGCAGACGTGAGGGCGAAACGGTGAAGTCGACTTCATTTCCTACATACAGGGAACAAAAGGAAGTTGCAATCTGTCTACCCCTTGTGGCGGACGTGACTCGGTTTACAAGTAACAACATTATCAACCCCGCCCCTGTTCCTAATAATTATGGTAGCAGAATAAGCGATAACGTATGAGGCGAAGAACTGTGGCACTTCGAATACCGGTTGAGTAAAAATATTTTTTCAGTTCCACAGTATTTAGTAACCGGGGCTTTGTGCAAGATTAGCTACGGTGAACCCGGGGTACTGATACATGCAATCTTACAAAGTATTAGTACCCAACAAAAGTATCTTGTCCACGCACTTCGTGTCCTCAGCATCAGTTGGGACAGCATTCAGCCACAGTAATTGCGCTACTTGCACAGTGATCGCTGAAGTAGAAAAGGCAATCTTCTCGACTGCACCTGGAAATCCTAGTCCTTTGAGAACGTCATTGATTGCGGGGACCGCGCCAATCAAAGTTTCACAGTTCTGTTTCACCGCGTGGGCAGATTTAAACAAGTGGCTGAGACAATGGTATATAGCATATTTCATGCTACGCGACATTTAGTCTTATAAATATTATGAACTGGGGAACAGTATGACACACTTATTCCTCTGTCTATTTAGTCAAATTTTACTTAAATTTCACGTTTGTTAGGCCTCCGCATGTCTGATATTACTACATGAACACTCGTCCATTTGTTGCTTTGGACACATTTCCGTCTGATCCACGACCATTTCTTTGTAACGTCTTCCGAACGTGCTCCCTCCGATTTTTTCCGTGTCGGCTATATTGGTGTCTGCCACTCTCCCGTCTTTGCTAGCGATATGTAATAGGCATGGATCAAGGAAGAACGTTCCCCAAATTTCTATCATCCGTATCCGCGTAAATATAGTTTTCACCATTTTATTCGCCGCTTTGTTTTGTAGCCTGAAACCAACAGGATAATGGTTGTTCCATAAATAGGCGGGCTTGACCTTACAAGAACGAAGAACTTGACTTCAAAGCTCACCAGCTCACCTAACATTCCGGGACCCTGACGACAAATAAAGTTCTCACGAGATTTTCAATGATTTTGAGGTTTTCTCTCAAACAATGCAGCACTTGTATTGATTTGCTAATTAATGCACATTTTATTGGCAACCTGGTGGGTATTTAACCACGGTAAGCCATGTACTCTGAGGGACCAATGTAAACCGTAGTGGTGTTTATTAGAAGAATGCTGCTTTACGAGAGGATCAATGTTGTTCATACCAGTGCTATCTGACGACTTATTAGAAGACCAACCACTAGCCAGCCTGTACCGAATGGCAGTTAAAACGCGTTTTACGCACATGATATTTATCTTGATTAACCTCCGATATTTCGTTGAATGACCGTGAAAGTGGCCACCTGGTTAATATAGCTTGAAGCCAATCAACCCGTAAACTGTACTCTAATCAACTTCCTTTTTGTTACCAACAGCGTATATTGCCTTTCAAATACCGGTGTTTACAATCATCAGTTTTGAGCATTAGGTATCAGTTGTGAGAAAAAAGTTGTGTTATTCCTGTTGATGTCAGATCATTTTATGCGAGCATCATGAGTGGCACTTAACTGGCTCAGTAAATAGAAGACACCCATTGGACGCGAACAATATTGATCTCACAATGTACTTGCATGGTCCAAGAACGGAATAGTGATGAAAGTGATTTGTATAATCTCACGGATACTTAAACGAACATCCAGTAAATTGCATTTATTGTCCAGTTATTTGAAGACCTTCTGCGCCCTCGTTAGTGCGGACAACATTTACTCATAAATTGAAGGTCAGAAGCACTCCAAAACGTTCACGCTAACAAGACTTCTGTCCCTCCAACCTAGATTACTGTGCAGTTTCAAGTGACGTCACCCAGTTCTCGTTTCCTTGGTAGGGTTGTAATGCGAAAACATCTGCAGCCACTCGCACTATCAGCTTTCGAAGTTGAATGGATCGGTCCTTCGTGTAGCCTATGAAAGGTAGCTGAGAATACGTTACATATAGTATACAAGCTCTACCTCTTACAGCTTCCTCCTCAAAGGCGAGTTTCTTCGCTAGAAAGTGGAAACACCATGATACTTTTCATTTTAAAGAAACAAGCTAACCTCAACAAGCAGAGGACACAGTCTTATTTACGAGGACTCAGCAACATGAATTCGTTACACGACTTTCTAAGTTAAACAAAATCCAACGCACAATAGGGTGAGCTAATTGTGTCCTTTGTTTCGTCATCTGCCAGGGAACGTGGCGTCACCGAAAATGTTGCACAGGATAAATGACCACTTTTGTTAAAAAATCTTTCAGTTGATGTTTTGACTTGGCACGATCCTGATAAAAACTAAACAAACTGTGGCAAGTGAGTGACCAGGCAGAATGTCGCTATTTGGAATAATTTAATTCAAAAACCCAAGCGGAAAAACATCTTTACTGTCATCAGAAAATTGGGAAATCAAACCTGGGTAACAGTAAAATGTTACGGAGGTATTCCGAAATAACCCAGTATCATGTAATCTACACAGTGAATAGATTTTTCACGTCACAATGTTGCCACGTCTGTATTCTGTTGTGTTACCTAGCGTAGCAAGATAGGAACTGAGGTATATATGTACCGTTAAAGAATTTAGGTTCAGTTTTGAAGGTGCTAGGGAAAGTTTTAGTTACTCGTGCAGAGGAATGAACACAGCTATGTTGTAGGAGAGTTTTTCTTTTATCATATCACACAAGAATAACGTCACCTCCTTAGTACTCTTGATAATAATGGCAATGGAAACAATTTTATTACGATATCCTGGTGTATTTTCACTGTCAGCGTAAGTGGAAATGTTTTGCTTGTAGGCGAATTCTACTATTTATTGTTGCCAATTTTCAATTCCTTTTTGCTTAGGTGCTTGTGTCGGATCCCACCAGGCTTTTGAATGGTCTGCTGGGTTCTACAGAAACCTAAGCATGCAGAGGCACAAACTACCTACACAGAATGCAGCACAAGCTGATAGACTTACCGTGACAATGTACAAACACTCAAGTAAATGCCGTTGTTGTAATTGCATCACATCGTCATAGGTCAATGGCTTTTTATGACTCGACTCCGAAACGGTTTTGCTGTGTAATCTTAGTTGTTGTCTGCCAGGTGACTGCTGAGGAACACTCGTGTTCAAGTCTATCATGGATCCTGCCGATCCCGGGCTGCTCTGACTTGCCGGTTGAATGACCACCGAGAGTGCCTCTCCCATCATCCTTGGTTGAAGTAGTTTGGATGAAAAATTCCCCAAGGAATGTGTCCGATGTAATTGAGTTGTGGGAAAGAGGCTGTCTTGTTGTCCGAATATTTCCTGGTCATTCTATCATCGAAGAAATGAATAATAGTGGGAGAGAATTCTGTCATCTCATTATCGTAACAAAATGCAAAACAACGTTGTTTTTGTAGCTGTTGTAGTTGCGCAAGTGTTTTGTTTTATGTATGCTGCGTATTATTGGAATCTCAGCCACATTCTGAGACCAAGAGATGTCCATCTGGATATATATAGTGCTTTGTGCCAAACAGACCACAATTCTCTGTGAAAGACATTCAGTCATCTTGGTTCTGTAGAAAATGTTCTGGTGGTTTTCAAAAAAGCCACGCTGCATGCGGCGGCCAGTTATTGCTTCGTTAACTTTCATTGTCATCATAAAAACGAACCAATAGAATGTAGCAGAATGGTACAATGAAAAATAATCCAGGGGAACGAATCGAATGGTGCTTACGTGTGCAAGATCTTCAAACATTGCGGATAGTTACTGTGACGTGTTTTCGGTGACTTTTCACGGTTCAGTACGATCTGTCGGATGGCGTTCTTTATTTTGCCAATCTTACCCTTTGACTGTTACTCAGCTGTTCTCTTTGCTTGTTTGTCTGACTTTACCCTATTACCTATTCTTCGTAATTAATACACTTATGCAAATTGATTCTAGGACTCATTTTTTGGCCTGGTTGCATTAAAACAGCTACTTTTTTCGTTTCATGTATGGAGAGTCTAGTGTAACTTTTTAACAGAGCACATCAGTATCTTGATGATGGCTTTCTGTCCCAGTTACCAAAACCTATAGTCTACGTTTTTAGGACATCATTTTCATTTCAAAATTTTATTGTTAACTTTACGGTTTCAAGCTGTGTTCGTTGGTTCCGGAAGGCCTATCTGTTCATAGCCTATGAAATCGCATAAAGATGGTCAGGCATAGACGCAGATTACGGACAACAAGCAGCTCAACTAATATGAATGGTTTGGGAAAATGCTGACAAGTGTTGATAACCCTGGTTAGCGCAATAAGTGGTGCCTGAAACAAAGGCGATGATATCATCTGTGGTGAAGGATGCTTTTTCTGAAGAATTGCTATTGCCCGAATTTGGTAGCGGAAGTCATGCGAAACCACGAGCTTCCAAGTCCATTCGTGCACCGTTACATCGGAACAAATGGCCTCCGCTTTTGGTAACCCGAGTTTTAAGTTAAACAGTTAAAAAAGTCAAATAAGAAGCTGCTTCAACTTACAACTACCGATTTGTGCGACTTCAACGGCAAGATGTTGGTAGCATGTAGTGATGGGTATCTATCAGTTCGTTTAGTCCATCAGGACCAATCGATTATAATGAAACGCATTTGACGTTTTCCTAACCGCCCGTGATAATAGTTTGCATCATTTTCTCTATTAAGTGACTGTTATTGAGAAGGAAAACGATCTGGGAAAAACCACGTACAGTTGGTTCGTTGAAGCCAAAGCCGGATCGCCCAAGCGTCCAGGCTTTAAACAACAAACAAGCAGTTTCTCAGAAGGCCCCAGAAGTATACGTGAATCCTTGGTATGCAGAACAAACTGGCTTGTAGATGAGTAGTAGGTAGACAAGTAGGCTGATGTGTAGGTAGGTAGGTGACATGTATCAGCTAACGTATCTCATGCTTCTGTCTTTAGTATTTGTTCCTCAAATGTGGTCCATGCTGAGAAACGAAGCATCATAAGCCCACAAAGCTGGCACATGAATTCTTCTGCACAAAGAAATTCTCATCAACGCTTAGTGGGAATCATTCACGAGGTCATGGTGGATTTCCAAGAACTTGGACACTCAAATCCTTTTGATGCCTTTTGATGCATTAACTTGCAGTTCATTTCACTTAGTGGTTTAAGTATGTCGGACTTTTTGAATCCGAACATGCTTCGACGTACAAACCAAAGCGCAGTTCACTTTAGTTCGTCGTCTCATTAAGTAAAGCTAGCAGTTAACAGCTGAACGGTAGCATATTAAAAACTCAATTGACGAAAATTTGTTTTTGGATTATTTGAGCTCACGAAGTTCGATGATGTCTGTCTCTCCGACCAGTGGGCGCCGTGCATTAATCTTCGACATTCTACGTGCTAGTTGTTGACGTTGGGAAGCAAGCACAAAATGAAACTCAAAACACATCAATCGAGCGATTTTCAAAATGCAACTGATAACTATCGCTTACTCATGTTGCACGTAATTTGTATAGGAATCCGTACTGTCATGCGCCTCATCATAACAGGAGCATGTGGAGCCTTTAAAACCGTACCGTTAGGGTCAAATTAATTGGTTGATCGATGCCTTCTTTGAATGAAACAGTGCCCACAACATATTGTATTCCCGTTATCATCCTTGAATAGGTGAATCAAATAATTCAAATCTTTTTTCCATAGGCTAAAGCCGGGTCATTTTGAAAATCGGAAAACCGTTGGTATTGGTTCTCTTTGCCAAAGCCGGATCGCCCAAGCGTCCAGGCTTTAAACAACAAACAAGCAGTTTCTCAGAAGGCCCCAGAAGTATACGTGAATCCTTGGTATGCAGAACAAACTGGCTTGTAGATGAGTAGTAGGTAGACAAGTAGGCTGATGTGTAGGTAGGTAGGTGACATGTATCAGCTAACGTATCTCATGCTTCTGTCTTTAGTATTTGTTCCTCAAATGTGGTCCATGCTGAGAAACGAAGCATCATAAGCCCACAAAGCTGGCACATGAATTCTTCTGCACAAAGAAATTCTCATCAACGCTTAGTGGGAATCATTCACGAGGTCATGGTGGATTTCCAAGAACTTGGACACTCAAATCCTTTTGATGCCTTTTGATGCATTAACTTGCAGTTCATTTCACTTAGTGGTTTAAGTATGTCGGACTTTTTGAATCCGAACATGCTTCGACGTACAAACCAAAGCGCAGTTCACTTTAGTTCGTCGTCTCATTAAGTAAAGCTAGCAGTTAACAGCTGAACGGTAGCATATTAAAAACTCAATTGACGAAAATTTGTTTTTGGATTATTTGAGCTCACGAAGTTCGATGATGTCTGTCTCTCCGACCAGTGGGCGCCGTGCATTAATCTTCGACATTCTACGTGCTAGTTGTTGACGTTGGGAAGCAAGCACAAAATGAAACTCAAAACACATCAATCGAGCGATTTTCAAAATGCAACTGATAACTATCGCTTACTCATGTTGCACGTAATTTGTATAGGAATCCGTACTGTCATGCGCCTCATCATAACAGGAGCATGTGGAGCCTTTAAAACCGTACCGTTAGGGTTAAATTAATTGGTTGATCGATGCCTTCTTTGAATGAAACAGTGCCCACAACATATTGTATTCATCCTTGAATAGGTGAATCAAATAATTCAAATCTTTTTTCCATAGGCTAAAGCCGGGTCATTTTGAAAATCGGAAAACCGTTGGTATTGGCAAAGCGTGCAGATCGTGACCGTACACTACATTTTATTTTTTTTTCATTTTTTGTATGTTTTCCTTGCTTCTTTTTTTCAGCCACAAACACTACCAGAATATGTGAGATATGTTTACTCAATGATTAATTGAAGCACACCTTTTGCTGCTGTTTGGACTTCACAGACCCTGCCGTTTTCGGCTGCGTCTTGATTCCCGGTTTGTCATCAGTATTTGGAACTTTGGGAACGGTAACGGAGACCTCCCCGGTCCACATGTTGCTTCTTTCACGCCCTGGTCGCCACTGAGTAGTGTTAAGGAACTGCTCGGAGTCCGCATCTATTAACGGATAGTCCCATCCGATTTGCTCTGTCTGAACGAGCGCTTGTACCTCACCAAAGCTGCTTGACTTTTTAGTTCCGCGAGCAACCATGGCTTCTTTATCGTTTTGAAACTCGGCTGTTCCATAAAGCCCTCCTTCATTTTCACTGTCCTCTGATTTTTCCTCGCCCGCGCTAACGGCTGCCATCATTTGCGCTAGGCGAATCCTTGCTTGCCGAGCTCTCTACAACAGAGTTTTGAAACAAGGATTATTTTACAAATCAAAACGTACTTTGTCCAAATTAGATAAAATAATTTGGATTGGTATCATAAAAATGGTTTAGCAGTTAATTTTGAATAATAGAGTTCTCGTTAATAATACATGGGGAATTCCGGTTATAATCGATTGGTATTAACAGCCTTATTGAGGCTGGGAGTCACGTCTAATATAAGAAAAGAGAATAAACACTTTAGTTCTCGTAATCGTCATCGGTTTTAATGTTTTCGAAGTGGCAACTAAAGAACCTATTGAACAAATTGTCTGCAATTCGAAACATTCTTCCATCCGTACAAAATAAGTTGGTCTGACTTGGTTTTCGTGCGTATGTGTGTCAGTTTGTTCAGCTCCCTTTTGCATCAGACTATTGAAACAATCCACCATGCATATTGGCCAAAACACACTCCTGTGACAAGCATGTGGCTCCCTCGATATACATTAGTCTTACCATAAAGACCCGTTGCCCATGGACTAGCTTCAAAACAGACAGGCACTAAAATGGGTGGGCGCAAATACTGAAAAGTAACCATAAATGTGTATCTAGGTCGTTGAAGCCCACACGTGGTTTCTGTGTTTTCCTAGAAAACGCGAAATAATTAAGCTCAGAACAATCTATAAATAAGTAGTGAAAAGTGATTAGGTCCTGGTTAGAAAGGTCATAGTCAGGTTGATCGGGGAAATCCCGATCGAGGACCGCCAGTTACTTCTTTGATGATGTTTATAACGAGTAGACAGCAGAATGGGCTCACAGATCTTCATATGGTCGTGTGATATGAAATCAATTAATCCACAATAAGGATGATCAAGTTAAAATGAATCGGGAATAGACATACAGTTGAAAACTGACTGCAGTAAAAGCAAAATGTGAAGCACTAATAAACAGAACCGTGATGTAACAAAAAGGATGAAACAGTGTATCTGTTATGCTGGTGAGAGTTTAGTCACAATTTGCACTGATGCACATGGTGTATGTTTAGGGCGTTTCGCCGTTAAAGCTTTCGCGGTGCGAAGCTTGGGTCCTTGAAATGGCATGACGATTATTTTGAGAGTTGCAGAGATGCTGCCATAAACAGCATCCAAAAATGTGTCAGGCGACCACAGATATTTTACATCCATTCTTAGCATCTGGAGTAATTTTGGGATGTAAAGTTTGGTTTCAGTACACAAGCGCTTTCCGCGCCTGAATCCGCAGGTCGATTCGAAATGGTCGATTGGAGTGGATTTTGTGAAATATTGCGATAACGTGAGGAACAACTTTTTCCTCAGTCAACAATTTCTAGTGGCAGATTCGCTTGATAGCTGCGTTCATGTAGTTCGTAACGGAGGACGGTGTGGTTAACGCGGTTGTCATTGGAAAGCCCAGGAGTGCAACTGTATCATCCTGCTCTGTTTCCATAGCAGGATTTAAGCGGCACTGGAGAGATGGTCATTTTCAGTTCACACCTAAAATGTCATCAAAATGACACGTACATATCACAAATTCTTGGATTCATATTATTGGCTGTTGCTCCGTGTGGCCCGATTAGACCGGAGTGTGCTGTTTATCGAGGCATCAACCACTACTTGAGCTTTCTCATCAGCTGAAATCTGATGTAAAAAGATGTGGATATTTTATTACAGCATCCATTGTAATTCCTGGCCATGGATGTTTATACAATGCAGCTGATTTACAGAACGTTACTTCCAATATATTTGTTAGTAGTCACTTCGAAATGCCTAGCTTTTTGATTAAATTTGTTCCGAAAAAAATTTTATGGCCTGTGTAAACTGCAAATAAAGCCATACATTGCTGTAAATTCACATATGGAGGATTATTCGGAGATTGCCTGAACGAATTTCTGGAAAACCTACTTTCTGGGCCTGTCGTTTGTCAGACCGTTGACTCTGATTGTAGATGCGCGAGAAGTTGGACACGATAACCGGAACCGGGAGAGCTATGACAAGCACGCCAGATAGTGAGCACATTCCGCCGACTATTTTGCCCACGATGGTTTCTGGTACCATGTCCCCATAGCTGTGAACGGAAATTGCCAGTGAGAATGAATGTTTTCGGAAAATGTTATGAATCTGTCGGTTAACGTGAATATGGTAAGTCTATGCAGGCAGAACCAATCTGTCTTCCGTTTTTGGCAAGGCTTTACAAACATACCTATAGGTTGGGCGGTCACCAGTGCAATAAGGTGTACAAATGATCAACAGACAACCTAACAATCCATACAAGCCCACCGGTCTTGTTTTTCGTCAAACAGCCATACTGCTTCTGAGCTGTCAAGATGATTTATGAGCTTAGTTGTCAGTAGTCGGAGAAAGTATGCTACGCAGCAAGCCATGGGTTGGTGCCTCATCTGTTATCAGATTTTATCGGTGAGTTAGCAGCTAGTTACACCAGCAAGCACATCCAGAATCACGTGTTCTGTTTAATCACGAAATAAGAATCTCGTATTATCAGATCCACAACCTTTCTGGAAGACGAGGCCTCAGATCATGGGTTACATAATATAATATTCTAAAATGGCATAAAAAGCATTTTTCGACCGATTTGCTACCACAGTGATCGGTAGTAGGTACGTGCAAAATATATAGTGTACCACTGCAAAATATGCACGATAATCAGTAGGGAAATTTACTCGTGTAATGTAAGTTGCTTCATTCACCTTAGGTATCCTACTAGTCAGTCGTTCGGGCGGATTACAAAGACATTATCATGCTCTCTGTCAATCTGGGGAAGCCAATGAAAGAACTACACAGTGATCCACGAAGAATATGTACGCCTTAAGCGACTAGTCACTTTCGAAGACTATAAAAATCCAGGAAAGGGAAAATTTATATTCGGGCTGCATTGAGTCACAAAACTGTTGAATGTTGAAAAACTAGCCAAACACGATGCCCGTCACCCTCTGAATGCATTTTACTCGTAACTTATATACCAATCTACATTTTAGATCAATTCAAATGAAAATCTATGGTCCGACGATTAGATAATATAGTCCTCACGCCTTGAAGGGTTTCAGTAGCCCCTGCGAGTTTCATTGGCAGTTTCGTGCAGTTTTGGTTTTCAATCGTTAGAAATAAGTTATGAATTCCCATTGTTGTGAAGTTTTTGCGGATTGTGTCCTAGTGATCCACGTCTATATTTGAGTTTTTCTCTATAACCATAAACACGACTTCGGACACCCAATAAAAAACTCAGTTATTTTGCTAAGAAAATTTGAGTTGTTTGAATGCTTCAAGCACTTTGTAAATCAATGAATACAATGATGCAGTAAGTGACTTGGCGCGATACCAGGAGAGTGAAAAGCTAGAATGCACAAGTAATACAAGTATGATTTCCTAGTCCTTCTTCCGCGAAACCGTAAAGGATGTAGTTTCTGAGTTTGTTTTTATGTTCAGTGAGCTAGGGAGTTCGGTTGCAAAGTTATAAAGAACTTGACCGTACCCTTATTATAACAGACTAGGTAAATTGCACGTACTCTAAGAAACTGAAAGTCGATAAAGTTGGACAGTCCGATACTATGTCCACATCGCGCCACTCATTAAATGCGTTGAATACCGCACTGACACTTTGTTAGCACTGCTAAACCAGGGTTACGGCTAGCCTCATACGGAGACTGTTTTCTACTACAAAACCATTTACTGGGAATGACGGCCACATGTATCCTTACAAATCCGATAACTTTTCAATTGGTGTATTCCCTGGAATGTTTAAGAAAAAGGTGTGCCCCATTGTAAGGTTATAAACTTACGATTTGTGAGGTTCTACGACCGCTTTTGTTTTTTTCTGATTAGAATACATTCTGATGCTTGTCTGAAGTTTTCTGTTGTTTTTTGGATACTGGACATCTGCGTTTCTTTTGAAGGAATACGATCCAAACACTCGTTCTCCGTCTAAGTAGAACATTCTCTAATTATATAAACGAGATATCTTCCAAGTGAAGCCAATCCACTGTTTTACGGTTGTACAGCACTGTGCACTTTTCTATGCTTTTTAAAGGCAACCGGTAGTGCGAATCACCAGATCTTGGTTCCGAAGGCACGGCTTCCCGGCCAGTAGTTGGCCTTAATTACCCATAACTTGCACCAGCCCTTCTGCGCAGTCTCAGCTGTTCGCTTAGTTATCAGAGCATCCCACAGCATTGATACAGGCATGCAGATGTGTCAGTTGCACTTCATTGGATGAACGAACTTACCTACCGGTTTCAAGCTCGGCTATGTGTGTGGTTAAAGCTTTGAGGGTATAATGGGGTGGTTAGGTGAAAAAGTGGGTGGGTAGGTGGTTGTGTTCGTGAAATTTTGGCCCGAAGCCAGAGTTCACTGTCATCATCACCAAGGTGCGATTAGAACTATAATGCAGGCGGAAGGGACGACCAAGAACAAGCGTAAAACTTGGCGTCATAGTGGACAGTGCAGACACAAGCAGTCTTGTGACTTGGGTTAGCGGAAAGGGTAGCTGCATTTCGAGGGCTCGCACCAGTCACCTACCATCGATGTTGAGTCTAAATTCAAAGCCCATGACGTCATAATGATTCTCCTGTTTTCGGCAGCGTACCCATTCGCACATAACGTTTACACAACCAATTGTCACCACCTCTTACCAAGCTGCTGTCCGCGAGTGCGCTAATAGCTGAAGCAGGAAAAGATTTGATTGGGGATCAAAAGTTGTTACAGTTGAATTAGAAATCACTTTTATTACATACGCTGTGGAAAACATGACCAATGTTTTTGGATTCCCCCGTCACCTCCTTACATTAATCTGCAGCAAAGTTATATGGCAGCATCACTGTCCTCTGAATTCTTCTTCTTGTTCTGGCGCACTTTTCCGGGTTTCTTCTCAACGGTGGACACCGAATTTACCTTGTTCGATATAACCAGGAGCACACACGCTCGGTTCTAGTGAGCTTCAGTCAATTGCAATAAGAGCTGATCTTTACTACTCCTTCTGTATGGTGCGCCAGTCACAACTAAGTTACAGCTATCAGGAACGAGTCATTTCTATCGACCTTGGTTATTTAAGGGTTGTCTTGTTCGACGAAACCATGCGGGTTACCTTAAAATTGAGCAGGCACGTTCTACTGTCCTCCTAGTCCCTCTAACATATGGATGCGATTTATTACAGGCGTTGGTTGAACAGATCCTTTGGGACTGATATATTTGTTAGATTTCCAGGCTGGCCTAACCACTGACAGTCTGAATGGCCGAATAGGAGAACTCACAGTAGAGCACCATAAACGTTTTGATTTAAAAAATTGGATCAGTGCCTAACCATGAAAATGTGGAAGGCTGAGATACCGTTTGCCAAGAGGTACAGCACAAGCAACTTATAAGGCAGTCATCGCGATAAGTGAACCTTAAAAATTTCGTTGCGTATATATCTTTTTGATGAGCCTCAAATGAATTTTATGTTTGCAAGTTAATGGACGAACAGAAACCATAGTTGAATGTGGAAGTGTTAATCGCAAGAAAGTGGTCGTAAGGGCGAAAAATATATAAGAGGTGGGATTGGTGGTTGTTCTTTTCTGGCCATTCCGTCGCGCATTCAGTCGCATTGAGAAGCCTGATAGTACCAACCTTAGCTGTATTTACCTCACGATATTTTTTTTGTTACGGGTGACATAAACGGGATTGTAAACAATAAAGTAAGTTTGACCTGGTGGCCTGTTTCCAATAAGCTGTGAAGTAATAAAGTGAATTGCTCCCATGTCAAACTATTCCAAATAGTCTTGTTGTTCTGTTTCTTGGGAGAGAAAAAACTGTGACAAGGTTCGAAGCAAACTCTACCATGCGCCCATCAATCGAATGCGATCAACCAAGCATCAGTGTCTACGAGCAGATGGGGCAGGTGCTCTTCGTCCACGAACTCATAAAGATAAACAATAACCCCCCATTATTTTTCAGTGGAACGAACAAACTGATGTAACCAGTGACAAAAACAAGATTTGCATAATGTTGGCCAACAGCTATCCTCGTCCGTCAATGCCCGTTAAAACGCTGTTGGCCGTTTGGTTACGTAAAGTTTCAAACGAAGCCCTCACGGATCACTTCCTATCGGTGGATACCCACAAGCTGGCTATCCATTCGAAAAATCCAGGAAATCAAACAAACTTCAAGCCATTCTCAAGAGTGGTAAATTTTACGGTATGGTTTAAAAACGCACATCTGATCATAGGGTCATTGAAAACACAATGTCATCCCACTTACCCAAGCGTCGTCATGGTAACAATCGTGTACCAAAATGCGGCCGGGATGCTTGAAAAGGTTGTGTCCACTACAGATTTCTCTGCGTAATACATAACCGTTGCAAAAATAATGATGACCATTGTCAGACTGAATAACAGAAAGCCCAGTTCGGAAGCGCACGATTTCAGCGTGTAGCCCAATATCCGTAGTCCAACACTGTGTCGCGAGAATTTGAACACACGAAACACACGAAAAACTCGCAAAGTTGTGAAGACCCCAGAAACGCTCTGAGTGGGTAAACAAACAATAAAAAACGATAATTAGTGTTGAGAATACATCTCAATTTTGAGAAAACGAAAGTTTAAAGGACATACTTATGGGATTCAGAATCTTAGAAGTAATCAGATTTTCCGTGGAGTTGAAATGAGACCAGCTTGAAACAGTTGGGAATCATGTATGTGTATTTATGTGAATAAACGAATATTTCTCTCTTGTTCAGCAAGCCTAGGCTTTGAGACGCATGTGTATGTATACATATATACGCTACTGAAAACAAACTCTGCATGACCCATTTTTCCACGTTGCCTAAGCAAGCTTCTGGCTTCGAGTTAAAACATCACCCAAACTAGTGTGGTTGGAGAATGATCTAGAGAACAGGAAAATTTCACGAATGCGATTCAGAATACGTTACACCTCAAGCCGCTACCTCTTGATAGGTAGGTAGCTTCATTGCCTGAGAAGTAGAACAGGCATTAACCAGACTTACTGTACATTGGAACAGCCAACAGGAATCGATCTAAGCCATTTAGATCTCCTATGAGCGCTGTTCGCCATAGAGGAAATCTCGCATGCAGCATACCACTCAAACCAGCGTAATCATGATGAAAATTTGTAATGCTATCTTTACGTTGCCATGGTACAAACAACTACCCGGAAGTTTCCTTACTTTCACGATAAATCTGTGGCATTTCCCTACGATCACAGGTTTTTCTCCTTACTTCAATCGACCATTGGTGGACATCATATGACTTTGTATAACGTTATGCCTAATAGGTTAAGCAAACCCCACACTCAAGAAAGTTAGCGAACCCGGCGACCCAATGACCACATTTCACATATAGACTAAGCAGAATGTAGATCACAACTTGGTTGTCAACGAAGCTGACATCGAATGGTATTGAGGGTTCGGAGGTGTTTAGGAGAATACTGTCGGCTGAACTGTTCTGGCACAATCTATAAGAATTCTTCAAGGTTTTATGGCCTATAACATCGAGAAAAGCTGCGCTCGAATCCAACTAGAGTTGGTGCCATAGACTTCATTTTTTTAAACCATTGACATATCAGATGGGTATGTAATTTCCTGGTAAAAGGAAATAAAGGTTTATAAGTGGGAGCTTTGTTTAGGACCTGAGTTTAGAACAAACAAACAAAGTGATCGTTCACATGTTAGACGTGCTACGTCCCGTATGTTAATGTTTAGCATAATGTCTGTCAAACAAATCTCTACAGTGTACGTCAAACCGTGAAGAACGAGGGCATTGTGGACTCTAGAGAAGATTTAACCTCATTCCTTCATTCCATCAAAACGCTGCGTAGAACGCTAAGCAAATTGTAAAGAAGGCATGCAGTGATAAATACTGTTTAATTTCCAGGGTATTTGTTCTTCTTTATCTACAAATTGGGGTTACGTTCAAGAATAAAACCAAGCAAAATTACACCATTTGCTGGGTGCTGACGAATTCAATAATTTCAGCTTATAAAACTTAGGCTTTGCTATTATGTAGTAGGGTTTAATTAGGTCAGTTTGATATATTTGCCGGAAATGAAGTTGGCGACCTAGATAACATAAATAACTCACTCTAAGATAACTGGCCCTTCGACATGCTTCTCTGGTTTCCAGACAGGGGAGAAAAGTGCTTATTGATTTCTAATTTGTCAAAAAGAGGCGGCGACCCCCCCCCCCAAAAAAACAATAGTTCGAAATGTCCATCATTCTTTGGTATACTTTATTTTCCATGGAGAGTCAAGGATGTATTTTTTCGTTTGCTAGTTGGTATCCAAGATTTGCAAAACAGGGATTTTATTGAATCGCATTTTTAGTGCAGTATACATTCCCACTTTCAGCAGATGCAAAAAGTACGTTTGCGTGACACCGACACGTAAAATTGCTGTGTATGTTCTCAGTGGTAGCATGCAGAAGGGACAAGCTGGTGAAGATTAGGTTTCGAAGTAATCTGAGTTTTCTAGATAGAGTAATCGACTTCCTTTATTATGCATCCAAAATGTGAGGAAGCCAATATTTAATACTGTTTTGGTCCACAGAATTGTGCACAGAATTGCTACAAAGCAAACTCGAGTAAACTAGGACAGATGAATGATTGAGTCTAACGATCGGCGTGTTAAGTGACCAAGCCATCGTCCTCTATTCAACGTTATTTTCAATTTGAACCAACAAATTCGTGACATCAGAGGACCTACTTAAGTCAGCGCATAAATTTAAATCTGTCATGACATTGATGGCGATGGGGAAATTTGATAATGCTCAATAAAGATTACGTTGGAATACTGAAGCCAATCTTTTTGAAAAGCAAACAACGTTTTACAACTGTCTAATCAACAGTGTGTATTTCGCAAAAAGCCAGGAATATCAAACCCTCGACCCTTCGGCCTGTGGCTAACACCTTAGGCTTATGACCATGAGCGGCTGATTAGCAATGTGATTAGCTCCCACTTGAACAGAATGAAACCTCTGTGGGAAATTTTGGAACCTCGTCATATCCCTAACAGTCTATAAGTAACTCATAGGAAGAATAATTTTACGAGGTGAATAAAATCTCTGCCCGAAAAGTCGTCATATGAAGAGTCAGTAACCATGCGACAAAGTGATGTGGCTTCCGTAGCTGAAGGTTGAGTGGCCACAATGCCAATTAATCACGTTGTTAATTGGCCGCTGGTGGCAGGATGATTAAGTCTTTAAACTACCAACCTAGAGATCACGCGTTCGAAACTCCATGGGGTTTCGTAGTGTGCACCCTACCCGTCATTCACGGTAACGATGAAACAAGTGTACAGTGCTTTTAGGCTTTTCAAACTGATTTCAGTGACAGGACGAAACTTAGATCGTTACATTGTTTGTTTGTGGTCCATTGGAACACTATTTTGAAAGCACGTTCTTAACGATTCCATGTACAAAAACTGACCGAAATAGGATTATTCCATGGTATTGGACATACAGAGATGGCGAGCTGCACCAAGTCTTGCAGGAATAAAGTCGTGAATGAACGTTATTAGGTCGACCAAATGTCACAATACGAAATACACTGCTTACTAGTAGTCTAAAGCGGACCACAATGTACACAAAAAATTGTGTATATTGTTGTAATATTTCATGAATATCTGCTGTCACAGACACCATAACAAGAATCTATCAGGAGTTATTTCAAAATTAATCGGATTTTGTGAGTAATTTCAGTGTGGCACATTATCAGAAAGGTGTTGTAAAACCTTTTTTTCGGTGGATTAAAAATCTGTCAGAAGGTTACATTGAATTCCACTTTTATTTCAGAATTAAGAACATGATGGATGATTACACACTCGTCCAAGAAAATGAGTGCTTATTCTCCAATACCTATGATGAAAACTAATGAAGAAGTTAGGAAACAGTTAGCAAATGAATGAGTGGTTTGGGTGAATTTACCGCATCATCCATATAAAAATGATGGCGACATTGATTTTATCTTCTACACTTGATAAGTTGCTACTCCATACGCATTCATACGGATATCCCTCAGATCTTCCAAAGTAGCAAACATTCTATTTTTGGAACGTTTTGATATGACTTGGCTTAGCTCGGTGCATATACGTAGTTGTTTACGTCACACTTAGGTCCCGATTCAGCGCAGTATATCGCGTAAAGTGCTAGACGTTAGGAGCAATGCTTGTTATTTACCTGTCAGTGTCGCAATAGTACTTTGTCGCTCCTTTGATCAGCACTGACAAATTATTTCTGTCTGATCTAGTTCGCCCAGTTGGTTCACAAGAGAACAACTGTAAGTGAGAGTAGAACAGCTGTTGACATCCTGGGCCAGAACTGCTGGTCACATGATCGATCACAGTGGTGCACACATCAAAGATAAGAACTACCTATGGACGCATCAAAATGGTAAAAGGCTGCTTCTGAGTGAAATGGGAAGTCTAGTTATTCATTTGGAACGCTTGCTGTCGAGCCAAACAATCATGTCATGTGGATACTAGATTATGATTCAAATGGATCTTGCGTTTTATTTGGTAACTTACAGTTTCGGACACCGCGGAATAAAAGAACAGAAATGATGTCCAAACTGCACTTGACTGCTTACTTCCACTGGAGTTTTTCTTGAGTTCGATGTCTTTTGAAAATGCGGCGTTTAGACGCACCACTGTCTAGAAATAACGGACTACGCTGGAGCTTATAGGCGTCTAAAAGCAAGTGAATCACAAAATCTGAAAAACCTATATAGATGGGGGTACAAGTTTTGTTACAAGTTACCCAAGCAACTGTGGGCTATTGTTCAGATGGGTCGCAACATGCTTGAACACGTGACCAGACAGTATCCTAAAGTTGTGGCAACCGCGATCGATATCTCGTAGGCTGAAAATAGGGATTACAATTTATCGGGTTAGGTGGTACGATCACCAGTTGGGTGTGCTTAAACAGCGAATAACGACAGTCATACATGACGCTTCAGTGACGAGGCAACATCATAAACAAAAATGCAGGTTTTATGTGGAAATAGATAAAATCACTCTAATGGATTATACATTCTGTCCTCTGCGTGGGTTGTTTGGATCATTCACCCAACCGAGGCAATAAGCCTTTTGCGGAAAACTGTATTGGTAATTGGTATTTGAAAAAATGAACGTTCTACGTAAAGCTCTCTAACTGTACGTTAAAGGTAAATGCATGTGTAAACATCAGCGCACTGACACAAGCCAAATATCTGGCAAAAACTCATCTACCCTCAGTTTGGGTTACTTCTACGAGCCTACATGGTGATTATTTGCCCATGCACATACCGCAGAAGAAAATGATTTTCCAAGTCGAAACCGCCGCGAAGCATTGAAAATATATGTGAGCACTGAAAATCATACATTCGATTGGTGCATCAGTGATACCTACCGTCACTAAGGCACTCATTTAAGAAGGCGATTAGCGTATGTTTCATCCGGCTGAGCAAATTCTAGGTGAAGAAAGGCTGTATTTCGCGAATGATTCTACTTAGAAAACCAGGAAATTTTCAATTGTAGG